TTATGAATCCCTAAGGAAAAGCTACATCTCTTAAATCCCTGTTGATGCAGTAGAGAGTACCTTCTGGTTTCCCATTTTCAAGCTTTTACAGAACACAGACCTTTACCCTACAGTGTCACCAAGAAGCACAACACTAACACCCTGCCTGTCCTTCTGACCTAGTCTGCAAAAACTGCAGTGCTCCAGCAGCTCCTCCTCACTCCCTGGAATCCTCCTCTCAAATCCCCTGCAAGTTCCTTCAGGGTTCAGCAAAGACAGGAAAAATCCACTGTGCCAGACATCCTCCCAGTTCACCAAGTCATTTGTACTCAGGACTTCCTGTGTTGCACATTCTTACATGAAGCTACTGTGAGTTCTGAATGGTCAAGGTAACAGATCCTTTCACTGAGCGGTTTTCATGGAATATAAAAGGCATTTACAGCCTGCTGCTGCTGCTGAGGGCTTTGTGAAAGCAGGGGCTCAGAGAAGTGGCTGAAGTTAAATTTTCAAAGCCCACTTCACAGGTAAGAGAGGCTTTCAGAGCTCCGAGAACAAGGTCACCAAACAAACTGTTTACACAGAGTAACAAGGAGGGAACAAATGCCTTATTTGACCACCTGTGTTATTCTTCCACTCAGCAAACCCCCATGTGGAAGGAAGGTCAGCAGAGCCATGGGCAGGGGTGCACGTGGCATCACAGTTAAAACAAAATGCAAAGTCTCTTAGATCAATGGGATCAAGGCATGAGGCAAATCTCCCAGCCCAAATCACTAGGAAAGATAAATAAGAGTAGCACTTCTGTGTCACAGGGATGTTGTCAAGTTTGTTGTTATCTAAACCACCAGCTCCTCAGATAGTGTTGTCAAAAACAAACATCCCATAGGAACACATGCTGTGAGGCACTACATTAATCTGTGACCAAGAGCAGAATTCACTCAACACTGGAGAAAAAATTCCCCCTTTAGTGCAAACCCAGTTACTCTTTCCCAGTTTGCATCTAACTGCTCATATGCCATCACTGACCTCAGAAACAGATTTTCTTTTAAATAAATGGGCTCACTGCTTTTCAAACACACGTTCAGTGTTTCTGAGCAGAGCCAAATATAATAACAACATAAAGACAAAAGACACCCTGTGCAACCTTATGCTTCATTCTCCCTGCAGTACCAGGTTTAACTTCAATTTTCTGCAGCTGTAATCAGCGCCAAAGGTGCCTCACAGGCCACGCATTGCTTGAGACTGACAGGCACAGGACCACCAGACAGGCAGCCCTGTTGTGTTCCCGCTAAATTTAACTCCATTTGTGGCTACCTGCAGACTGACAGGATCTTTGGGAGTCTGGTCAGACTGCAGCTCTCTCCTTTGTCTGAAGCCGAAAACGCACACGGTGTATTAAAACACGATCTTCACTGTAAAAGCACGTACAAACAGGTCACCATGGAGGGTACTAAATTTCAAAAAAATGTCCTCCTAGTTCCTCTGTCATCCACATATCTGTCCACATATTCACGTGCTTAAATGAGATTTGTTCTGTTCTCCTCCAGGTATAAGCTGCCTTGGACTACTTCACATACAGCAAGGAATAGGATATGCAGCCACAGAGTTACCCCTGGGTACTGAACATACTGTAGGGTCACAGCTGGACTTGTCCCCATGATAAATTATTCACTTTGTGTTAAAAACATTAAAAAAAAGAATAAAATAGAGTGAATACCACCGGACTAGTTGGATTAGGTGAGGTCAGCACTGTCTTTGCTAGCTACCTTTAAAAGTTTGCCTTCTGACATCTTTTTTACTTTTTAATGTGTCTTTTTCACGTTTTTAAAAATCTCACGGGTGTTTTGCACTTGCCCATGCAGACACCCATTATTCTGAGCTGTGACAAGACTTTAAAGTACACCAGCTATTGCATCTAAAGGAGAAATAGCATGCTCTCCCTCCCATCTACTTGACATATGCCATTACAGCACACAATTCTTCTGTGAAAATACAAACAGAAAATGGCCAGATACGACACATATTTATTAAGCCCCTCCCGGTGAATCTGATTTCTCCTGCCACACTCCCTAACACAAGGCATCAGGCAGGACCTCACATCGCTTCAGCCTCAGCACATCGACTTACCAGAGGAACTGCACTGTCCAATCCAAGTCAAACGCTGATCTGAGCTGCTGAAAGGAAGGAGCTGTGCTGGCCCCTGTCCACAGCACGTGCGCTGGCGACTCACACTTCCCCTTGGAGCTCAGCCAGCGCCCCAGCCTGCCTGAGCAGGAACCATCTGTGGGGATGAAAGAGCACCTCAACTTCCAAATTTACTTCCAGCCTTGAGAGCAGCCAGACTCCTCTGTCCTCCAGGAACCACTCAATAATACAGCACACGCCTTCCTGAACAGGCAGGTTTTGTCGGGGGGCAATCCCTGTGTCCATGTGCTCTGGGGTTTCTCATTTTCCCTACGCATTGTGTCAAACATTCTGATCACAGACCAGGTTAAGTGGTGGATAATAAGGCAATTCCTAAGAGAACACTTCTAAGGTGTTTGCATCCTGGTTGGTCACATACTGCTACACAGGTCTGAGTAATGGTAATGGCCATAATTAGCTCTTATACGGCACTTGCCTTTTGATATAATTTTTCCTAAGATACGTAGGTGTAAAGAGCTTTCACCTCATTTTAAGGACAGGGAAACCGAGGTATTGAGAGGGAGGTAATGATGAAATGTAAATGCCAGCAGCAACACGAGGCACAAAACCAGGTCTCCTCCATCCTAGCTGGGCGCTTCAGGCAACACAGCTGGGAAGCTCCATATCCCATTACCCATATACTGAGTCGCCGAGTTCCCCCAGCAAGGATCTTATTTTTCATTATGGAGTGAAAAATAAAACAAGCCACAGGGCTCTAACTCCTCCTGCAAGCCAGAGACACAGGGCCAGACATTTCTGCGGCAAACGGCACAGTGCAAATGCGGTGTGAGCAAAGTGGCAGCAGCCAGCCCGTGGAGGTGCTGGAGCTGTGGCATCACTCATTACAGGGAGAGAGGGGCAGCGTTACCTCAGCTGTCAGAAAAACAGGCTGGCTGCTCAT